CTCTGGCTTTTGAAGTAGATGCTTTCAGCCAGGATTAGATGTGTCTACATCTTTATGGGTTCTCTCCGATTCGTCTGTTATTCAAGGTTTTTGCACTGATTCTCTCCTTGTCCTGTAGAGTTCTTCAGGTGGCACCACTTTGACCGTGTCAGCCTTGTTTTTCACTCCTATATCTTCTCCGTCTCTGTCCATCTGTCTTACATCAGCCTCGTTTGGACTTTTTTGTCTGGCAGTCAGTGTTTTTCAACTTCATGCCTGGCTTTTGTGTAGTCCATCACATGACATAAGGAACTGACTTCTCGGGTGGCATCCTTATTAACATTGTCCATTTGGAATTCTTCTTTGGAAGTTTATCAGTGGAAATGGTTTACTTATCATCAGTTACCTCTCAGACATGGGTTTAACCCTTCTTGTCCCACTGTGCCACATGTCTCCCAATTTCTGACATGGTTATTCGAGAGAGGTTTGGCACTTTCGTCTATTGCTCTGTATAAGGCTGCTTTATTGGCTACTTTTCAGTTTTTTAAGAGAAGAAAAGTTTTGTCATTACTACTGAAATTGTTTTGGGTTATCTGTCCTTGTAGACCTTTCCAGGTTCCTAATTGGGATATCATAGTGGTTCTCCATGCCTTATTTCATCCAGCTTTTGAACTATTGCGGTCATGTTCATTTTGTTATCTTTCACTTAACACTTATTTTATTCTGTATTTGGTGAGCAGGCGTCGACATTTGGATGTGTTTATGCTTCATGTTTACAAGATTCTTTACCATTCCACTTATGTTCTGTTGTATCCAGACAGATATTTTCTACCCAAAACTTCAGTAGGTAGAGAAGGAAAAAAGGCTCTCTCTCCTATTCATCTTCACTCAATTTCACATTTATATGACCACTCAGATTCAGATAATCTTTTATGCCCAGTTTGGGCTCTCCAATGTTATGTAGCATGCACTGGAGCATTTGTTTATCCATTGGGATCCTATTGTTACATGTGACCTATCCCCTGTCACTTTGACAGGTTGGATTCATTATTTTGTTTGTATGGCTTACTCTGGGCCATCACTGAAAGAGAGAAGTCTTCTTCAGGTTTCATATTATCAAGTTGGACATCTCTTGATGTCCCTGGCAGCTCAGTTGCATTGCCTACTGAAGGAAATTGTACAGGCTGGTAAATGGATCACACCTAATGCCTTTATATAGCACTATTTACTTGATTTAGTGGTTTTCTCCTCAGATGTGTTTAGGCTACCTCCCATGGCTATTTTATATGCCCCAGCTTAATTGTGACAGAGGTGAATGACTTCATTTCTTCTGTGTTATTCCGTTTTTTTCAGGGACTCTCTCATCATTATCATTTGGATCCCACTCAGTGGCAGATGTTGCCTGGTCAGGTATGCTTTTTCTAAATCAGCACTAGCTACCAGTAGAGTAATAAATAAAATTCCTGATAGCAAAGAGCTATGTTGAGATGGGGTGTTCCATAAAACAACTTGACACTTTCCGGGTGGTACACAATTATTCAGTACCATACATAATATACAATACTGGGCCGCCACTCATGGACTATCATGAGTAAAGCATAAAGGAATTTTTTCCATCACTTCTGACCTCTGGATTAAATAAATTTGGGTTGGTTTGATTTTCATCATTCCTCAGGATTCCCCAACATGAATTCTCCTCCCATTTCTCCATAGTGGAGCATGGGAGTCCTTACCACTCCCAGTTTCCAGTTGATGGTGTGATGGACAGAGGTCTATTCCTTCTGAGTGATGTTTTGACACTTTATTCCACTCAAGGAGAAGAGGGTGAAGGTGGATACCCTCGCACCCATAACCCTGGAGATTTTGCCAGATGTCAGGTGGGAGAAGGACCAGCCTGTGCAGGTGCCTCCTAGTAATTTCGAGTTCAGAGATGACATTTCACTATCTGGTTGTGTTGAGTGGCCCTTCTTTTTGGTCATTATATTACTTTCCATGATATTGGACAAGGGTTCTCGACTCCTTAATTCTGCACGCAAAGTGTCAACTACTTGAGCCATTGGTTCAACTTCATTTGTTCCACATCCTCTTCATGAGGTGTTGCCTTGTCTCTTGGGTTGGGGAGTTAGGATTTAGATTCGTAATCCCAGGTCTTATGATCTCTGTTTTCTTCAGGTTGTGTGTGAGGCATGAATGGCCTCAGAATTTCGGGTTCAGTTTGTTGCATTCTGTGCATGTTCAGGTTGATGTAAGGGTCTGTCCACTTTTGTGTTGCTTGCCTTTTCTTCATAATTCTGGTAGCTGAACGTGCAACATTCTTTAACTTTCTCTTTGGGTTTCCTTGATATCATATTACTATAATGTAATGATATCACACTAAGGTCCCCATGCTTAGCCACTACACCTTTGTTCTAGCTATGGGTCTGCAACCCTAGAATTCCAACAAGGAGATGTGGGACCTCATCTGCATGGTTGGGGCCTGGATGACTCTCATGAGCACGTACAATATTTCCAGACTAAATGAGTCTGGTTTTGCAGGAGGAACCAGTTTTGGAATAGATGTCCTTCCTTGCATGTTTATTCTCACAGTGTTATGGTTTTGACACTATGGCCATTTGGCCTTTACCACCCTCATTTTGATTTCATATTATCTGGGCGAAGAGCATACCTGTTCCAGAGTAGTACAGACCCCACTAGTGTACAGTTTGCAAACATTTTCTATGTGGATGCTTTCTGTGTGGATCTTGCCCTCACTGGTCTCTCCATCTTGTAAATGTGGGATTCTAGCTAAAGTGTGAGTGTAGGTAAGTGTGTTTTGGAAGCTTGCATTTTCCTATACCGAAAATGTATTTCTGATAATACTTTCCTCTTCTCACACTATCCTACCTTTCCTCCCCATAATGGGATCGGTGTTTGGGTCTGATAATTTTGTCAGTCTTGAAAAAGTGAATAAGAAGTAATAATGGGAAGCTTATATACAGATCTGTATAGAGGGCAGTTTGACATAGATGGAGAGGGTCACAAGACTAAAATCGCTATGGGTGATATAGTGGGGTATGAAGGTTGGAGCAAGTAAGGTATAATTCATACCAATGCTTAAGTAGGCAGAGAAGAGATACTTTTGTCAGGATAAAGCTAAAGTGTGAGAAGAGGAAAATGTAAAGTTTCAAATTTTATTTGCTTGACATTTCTAGAACATCCTCTTAAATGAATATAAGAATTGTTTTTGAGTAAATCTTTAATTTTCATCTGTTATTTTCTCTAACTAACTGTAGCAAAATCAGCAATTTAGGGTAAAATATGAAATAAATCTAAATTACCCATTTTATTTTTAGAATGTTTGATCTTTCTAACAGGCTATTGCACACTATTATTACAGCAAAAGCAGACAGTTCGAAGCTGAGTTTATATAGATTTATTGCATTATAGCTACACTTAAAAGTCAGATCTTCTCAGAGTATGATGAAATCCTTAATCACAACAGGACACCCTTATGGATAAAATTACCAACACTCTCGTTGAATTGCACAATAATGCCTTGCAATGTGCATGTGCTGTGATGAGGAATTTGTTTATTTAATCAGGTGTTTCATTTATGTTTTCCTATTTAGCCTAATAAGTTTCTAATTTTACTTTTATAACAATAAATAAATAATCTTTATAAAAAACAACAAGTTGAAGTTTTTGTACTCATAAAAGCTAAGCCCCTGATGCACACTAACCCTTCTTTTTGATAAGGATAGTTTGTCTCACAAATGTTTTTTTAACTCGTGTATGTGTTAAAATATAAAATATTGTCATGCACAATAGATAGAATGATTTTAACTGGTTTTCTATCTAAGCTATAAATGGGATAAATATTTCCAATAGTTGGTTGAGCCATGCTCCGAGGATAGAAACAATTAAATTGAGGGCAAATATTTAAAACCTCTTTCTATTGGCTATGAATACTCCAAAAGAAAACAAAAAATGCCCCCCAGTGGCACAGCGGTATGTCTGCGGACTTACAACGCTAGAAACCGGGTTTCGATACCCGTGGTGGGCAGAGCACAGATAGCCCTTGTGCAGCTTTGTGCATACTTAAAAACAAACAAACAAAAAAAACTTGGAGGCTAGGAAATTAGATGACAATATAGGGGTAGGAAGTAAACCTAAAATGGGAAACTTGGAGCTAAAAGTGTTGTATGATTCAGGGAATTTATTTAAATATTTCCTTTTAAAATTAAGAAATCCAAACTTCTATAATATTACAATTTGAATTATAAACTACATTTTGATGTTAAGTTTATTGATGTGTATTAATAATAAAGTTACATTTGATTAAATTTTGAATGTAACTGTAAAAGGCTATGATATGCACTTGTTGGTCAAAATGACTAATCCCATATGCAGAGGGTTAATAGATCTTTTAAAGATTTGGCAAACATTCATTTATTAAAGATGTATTTGAAACTTTATTGTTAATACAATTCATCTTAAGTTTTCAAATAGATGAGTCATATTAGTGGTTAACCTATTACAAGACATGATTTAAATATTACACCTATACATTTTATAAATAATTTGCTTGACATAATATTTTACCAAATAATGTACATTTTGGATTATGCAACAATTTTTTCTCACTAGATTGTAATTCTTTATCACTTGATGTTTTTACATATGACAGAAGAATCCAGTAAATTACTATATAATTAACAAATTTACTAGAACTTGTAATTGACTTTTTTGTAAATGTAGTACACACGTGTGAAAGAACATTATGAAAGTTTTAATTTATCCTAACTCATAAATAAGCTTTCAATTGGAAATAAAAGATAACTTGATAAATAACTATACAAAAAGGCTATTAAGCTTGATATACCATACTTACAAAATAGTTTTATGTATTCCAGAGTATCTAAACCGTTTTATACTTTTAGCTAGGAGTTTGACATTTCATTATGTTCTTAATTTCAGTAATTACATAGGCATGTTTTTTATTGAGTTTAAAAATGCTGTGATTTAATGAATTTTTGTTCTAGGTGAAAATAGAGGAAGTCATTGTGGAGAAGCAGATTGTGAGTCTCATACGCCAGATGGTGAAGATAGTGTGGATGACTCGTGTTCTGAACAGAGCTCCTCCACTTCCATATCCAACCACAGAGAAAGTCGTGTTTGTGATTGTTGTTACTGTGAGGTCTTTGGCCATGGAATGGTTAGTTGTTGTTGTTGTTTTTTAAAAACACTGTAGAAATAAATAATACTAAAGTATTTATAATTATAAAATTTAAAGTTACTTTTGCATTAAGCTTGAGTTGAAAGTTTATAAATTGACTTAAATACTTTTTATTTGCAGTTGCTGTATTTTTAAAAGTGTTTTCAAATTATCTAAAAGTGCAGTTGTTTGAAGAAGTTTAATTGTAAATAATGTTATATACTAACTTTTTTATATCTATTTTAAAGTTTTGATTCAAATATTTCTTATACAACTGGAAACAGTTCATAAAACGTGAGAACTAAACAACACGGAACTGTTGTAAGTAAATCAGGTTGTTAATTAGATTTGCTAGTCTTTTAATTGTTAAAAACCTATGTCTTGCCAGAAAAATATTCAAAGGTGATGTTTTTCTGTGTTACATACACAAATATAAAATGTTATTAAATTAAAATTAAAATAAAAGTCATAGAGTCACCTGTTAGAAAACAGTAATCTGTATTTGTGAAGAAAAGCATTTATAGTAAGGAATACTGAGTTATAGTTTAAATTTGATGATGAATAATGCACTTTTTTAGAAAATAAAGTTTGGAGAGGGTTTGGATGACAAAAGTTTGTCAAAATGTTGTACATTTGTAATAAAGTTTCTTTCTCTACCCATTCAAGCCATCTTTAAATTTTATAGTTGTAGTTTTTTGCAAAAAAAAGAAAATTATTAACATATAATATGAGATATTTTTAAAATACCTTAAAAACTGGATGTTGTCTTATATGATACAGAGTCAATATAAAACTTCCCGTGATACACGTATTTGAGTTTCCTTTTCTTTGAATATAATGTTCATATCGCATAAAGATCTATCTTAAAACAAACATAAATCTTAAAATAATGGTTTACTAATGTTATCGCTTTCATTATACAAAACCTTTTGATTTAAGCTTGCTTTAAATGTACAAGATTTTATATCTTGAAGAAACCACAGCTGCTTTGGCTTAACCACATATTGTAGAGTGAGTTTTTCCTGTAAGCTTGCTTATAACATGTGTGTAATATAAAATCTGTTTGAACAATCTCTTTTTATTCAAGAACCAGACTATTGTTCAATTGTATGTGAAGTTTTATTTAAACTTAAAATTCTAAAGAAGTGATTTATCCTCATCTCTGACATCTAATGGCAATAAAGAAAAATAATTATGTATGTATTCTTTTAGTTATTACAATCATTCATAATTGTTTAAGTTAACAGGCCAGGCATGATGTGTTATGATAGAATTTACAGGGTCTGATGGCATGTAATAGTTTGATTAAGAATACTGCTTATCAACCAGGAATGCATGTTTGACTCATGTTAAATATCAGTTTTGCACTGCTTTAGAAAATGTTTAAAAGTATCTTTTCAGTAATACTGATTTACTTCAGGTTAATATGATTTATATGGATGCTCAATTTTTATGGCAACCATTCTTCAGGAGTTTTTGTGTTCATAACTGCTATATGGTAGAATTTAGTCCATATATATTCAGTAAACTCACTGTCATTTGAGACATATTTGTTTTTCTAATATTCAAAACTGTTTTCTTGTAATTATTGCATTAAGTATGGTTTTTAAAGAGTAAATTTTTACTATAAATGAAAATGATTTGAGTTAATAAGTTATTACTGTCTGCTTCCAGGCTGCAATGGCCCCTGTTAGTAGAAATTATCCTGAAATGAGAGAACGATTGAGGTTAAAGCTAAGCAAGAGAAAGGTATTAAAATCTCTCTTCTTTGTTTTTGTCTTGTTTATTTCACAAAATAGGAAGAGTTGTGTTAAGATTAACTAGTTTTGCCTGTTGATGTAATTTTTTTATTTGACATCAGAAATAATTTGTTTGACAAATATTGATAATCAGTGGAAGTGGTTCTACATTCCTCATCTGTTGATCTAAGTTACTGAAACTTTAAGGGTAACCCTGAGGTTTTTTGCTATTGATCTCAATTCATCACCTGATTAGCATTAATTTAGAAGAGACAATTTCTATGAGATATATCTATTAAAAGGCAATGCTAGTAAAGTATAAAGTCACTAACATAGTCGTAATATACTAGAATTTTCATAAGCTATATATAGATGAAATAGAAATAATTTACTTGTAATAAGTCAGTTTAGTTATTCGTGAAGGAATAAATTAGTTGATGCCTATTTACTGACGCACTTTCATCAGCCAACATTTTTAAAATAAATTCTGTAAATCTGAAAAGTGACTTTTACACCTCAAACAAATCAGAAAAAGAAATAACTTTGTTTGAAACTCTAATAAAAAAAATTATTATTTACTTGCAAAATAATCTTGAGAAAGTTGCATGTGTATAATTATTTTTAGAGATTGCGTAATTAAGAAATAAGATTTGAAGCACCAGTTATCAATCTGCATTTTGACTTAATGCTTTACATCTATAACTCATGGGTTACTATAACTAAGTACTTGTTTCAGACATGTTTTTTTTACTACTGTGGTATATTTAAGAAAATTTATGTATTTAGGAATATGAAGAGTGAAGATTTACATTCTTAATAGTTTAGTTCATTCTTATACTGCACCATACTTATTGCTTACATCTGATTACCTCACTGTGAGATGTTGTAGAATAATCACATTAAGTTTACAGTGACTAACCAATGTTTTCAACCATATACTTTATATGTTTAAATGAAAATAAAAGAATCTAAGATTTTTTCAAAACAAAAACTTAAACTGTGTGTGATATCATGTCAGTTATTTGAAATACTAAAGCACTCTATTTAACAGTAAACATTAATATGTATTATTATTCTTTGGTTAACACTCTCGCAAAACAGTCGGTCGAAATCGACCAACATTATATCCACTTTTGTACCCTTTATAGTTTCCACACTATAACTTTTAATATACTGCGTGAATCTACATCGAATTTGGTGGACTTTTAGTAAACATTACAAATCTTTTGTACACAAAAATCAGATTTCTTAATGAAGTGTTTTTACTAAATATTTGTCTGTGAATAAATATAGTATTTCTATATATTAGTCTGAGTGTTAAGTGATTTCCACGTTAAGAATAAAAATACTTTTCTTCCTTTCAAAAATCTCAAATTTTATTTGCATAATCTCTAAAACCTCCTAAGTAAATTTCAAATATTTTTTTTTTCATTTAAAATTTATATTTTATCTGTTATTTTTCCCTACCCTAACTTTATACAAGGTTGATCAATTTGACTGACCTCATAACCACCAAAAAAATTTTAAGTAAATCTAAATTACCCTTCTCCATTCATGTGATATTGATTTTATTTTTACATTGATGATTAGCTTATTTTGGCACTTTCATCCATACAGGTGATTACATTTCTTAGATAGCTCATCCAGAACTCCAGTTCCCCCTTTTAGTACTAACAGGGTGCTTGGCACATCTGGGATTTTAGATCAGCACAGTACAAGGAACACTTCAGCCATTTCATATGGCTTTGCAGGCCATGGAGTGTCATGTACTGGCTGCTAAAAACATCCTTTCCATTTTGTGGACAGTTGCTTCACATTGCATTATCACTTTCTTCATGTGCACTCACATGCAACACCTTCAGTGAGACCTTGCTTCTCCAGACCCATTCTCATGTAGTATGACTTTTACTTCCATCACATTCGTGTTTCCAGTTTTGATTGAACTGCAAATTACAACAGCAAGCTTTCGTTTTCTTCCTCATCCTTTAGACTTTCTTCTTTTCGCAGATGCTTCTCTCTTTCTCTCACAGTTGAAGTGCTATGTTGTGGAATCAGCATCATTCTAGTTCTTGGATTCTTCTGATGCTGAAACAACTTTTTGCTGTTATGGATATATCTACCAGGTGGTATACATGGCTGTATGCTGCCCAATAAAAAAAGTAATCCTTGTCAAAGAAGTTACTTACTTTTATATAAACAACAACAGGCTTACATAGAAAAAACATAAGAAGTTCCCCCTCACTTGAGGAAGTTTTACTGCAGTTCTTGCACAAAGCTATCTATTTTTGGTCTTCTTCCAATCTTAAACATGCTGAAAGCACATTGAGCTACTGCTGTTGTTTTGATGCTTTTATATTAATCTTAATTATTTAATGTTCAAACAGGTTACCATCTGTAACTAAGATTAATATGAAACTAGAAATTTAGCAGTGGTGTGCATGATGCAAATTAATTTCTGCTGCATAAAACAACACTCACACACACTGAAACTAGCACAAGACAGAAAATTACTAAGATAATATTAATGATTTTTAACCTTGGAAAAAAATGATGTTTATAATATTATCAAGAAAGATATCTGGTCTCAAGATTCCATCTCTGGTATCTAAGGCGATGAGGTACCCTTTTGATAAAAATGCCTTTTGAGTGTCATCATTTAGTCCAGTCTCTTAAGAAATTGGTTTGCTCCACTTGTTTCTCTTATGAATCTAGTCCAGTGGCTCCCAACCTTTGCTCCACCAAGGATCCCTTTTATTATAATTTTTTCCCCCACGGAACCCATGTTTTTGAAAGATTCTGCCTACCCAACAAACTGTTTTTATTAACTAATAATTAACTCGTTCTCCCACTTTTCACTATCAAATAAAAGACATATATAACTGAGTGTGCAATTAAAAAGAACATCAGTATTAAAAAACTTACTTGTTTAATGAGATGGTATTACCTACATGGACCCCAGGTTGGGAACCACTAATCTAGTCCATAGACTTTTAATCTGGTTTTGAATTCTACTTAACTTCTTGATAATTTCGTTTAATTGGCATTATCTAGGTTGTTACCTTCTTGCCTAACAAACTCAACTTTTGGTGAACCAGTGTTTCTTATGCTTTTGTTGGTTCCATCCTCTTTCTTTGTGTTGTTATTCTGGCTTTTAGTATTTCACATGTACGTCTACCTTATTTGAATTTACATTTTCAGAATTGAAATTGATTTCAAACAGGTACTTACCCCTGAAACACTAAAAGCCTTTCATTTTCAGTTTGCTCTCATGCTGTCAACAGCCATGTGTCTTTAGGTTCTGAATATTCTTTATGCAATGCAAACCATGCATTAATTTGCTCGGAGTTCTCCAATTTCCAACCCTTCACGTGACTTATTGTGTGTATCAGGAGATTATTTTACCACAATAACAAAAAAAACAGCACAGTTATTAGTAAACTTCTGTTGTTTTTTCAGTTTTATCACTATAAAAACTTTTTTAAAGTTATACTGTAACAACTTTTGTTTGAATAAAATGTATTTAAAATGGCAATTATGTAATATTGAAAATGTTTGGATAACTAGTTATGATTTAAGTTTTCTTATCTGAACTTTATATCTCACTAGGCTGAAAATGGGGTTTCCAATAAGAAGGACCACCCAGAACCTTCAGAATCTCCTCTTGGTTACCGCCCACTAGATGAAGTGCTGAATTACATTAATGGCACTGATAACAAAGACAGTGCCAAACATTCAAACTCAAAATCAGCAAAGAAGCATCGGAAGAAAATAAGAAAGGTACGTGTGTATACAGTAAAGTGAATGTGAAATACTGTATCAAGTGTAAAATGCCAGAATTTGATTTAAGCAGTATAACAATCATATATTTTTAGACAGTGCTAGAGTTCACTTTATCCTGTAATTATTTGTAAAGTAAAGCCAATTTAATTTCACAGACATGTTACTGAAAATAGTAAACAAATAAAACTAACATTATTCATACAGTTACTTTGTTTGTTCTAAAACATTTTATAGTGTTAAAAAATAATTGTGTAGGCATGTAATCGTTTCTGTAATAGTATTTACTGAAGATAAAAAGCACTACATTATTTCATGTCATTCGTGCAGCTGTGTTCTACTGTTATCATATGACTTAATCTGAAGTATGTCATGTTACGTGTTCTGTCTACACATTTCTTCTCATCATATGACTTGAACTCATGCTAGAGGCTCACAACACTTACCCAAACAACTTGAAAAGATGTAAAAATTATTTGCTTAAGATAGAGTATAAATCCATATACTGTGAAAAGTTGAAAGCTTTTGTGTATAAGTACAACTTATACCAAAATAAAATGTTTTCTGCTGTACATACTATCTGAAATAACTTGCATTATGTACATGAAACATTGCAAAATAACTGTATTTGTATGTCATTTTGATTTGAGATTCTATATTGATAAATGACCAAACTCAGTGTAAGGTTACTATACCTCTTCAAGAGGAAGTAGGAGGATACTTGCTATGTCCCTCATTGTTTTTGGTGGGTTTAGTTTTGCACCAATCATCTAACATTATCCCAGTAACTGCTTCCTGGCACTCACATGACCAATGGTACAAACACCCATCAGGTTTTGAAGGGATCTGCAATAATTAGCCCTAGTTAGGTACGAGAAGTTTTAAGAGACTTGTAAAAATATTTATTGCAAGGTTGTGGGATCCTTCAGTAGTCTGTCATGAAATATGCTACCAGAAAGAACTCCAGCATTTATGAAAGTAGTGAATTCTTTGATGATGTACTGTGGACAAAGCCTATATATGTGGGATTGCTCATTTCTGATGTTGGGACCCATAAAATCAGCAATGAGGAACCTTCTGACAAAATGAAGATGAGGATAAAAGTCAAAATGGAGATAGGAATATGGAACTGTATACAAAACTACAAGCTGGAGCAATATTACTAGGAGAATTAAAAATTGAAGTGTGTTATCTTAGAGCTGAGTGAGATTAGGTATATTAGTTTAGGGACCCGTATATTCAGGAGGAGTATGGCTTGAGACAGAATAACATTAGTCAAGTTTTGGGAGAAACCTTTTAATTTTAGCCAGCATCTAAGTTTATGTGCTAACATCTGATAGTGAAGAAGAGAAACTCACAAGCTTTTATTAAGCTATGCAGGCAGTGAAACCAGAAGAATATCTGATGATAATGAGTGACTACTGTCAAGATAAGTGTAGGTATAGCATACTGTTTGGACCACATGGCCTTGGAGAAGATTAGCACAGTTTTGTGAAGAGAAAGACTAAAATATGCAACACTTGGTTTAACCATCCCACAGAGCATCTGTACACCTGGAAGTTACTACCTGGTGAAAGAATTCTGAGAAATCAGGTAGACTATATCTTATTTGAAGAACGGTTCAGAAACTCTATTACAATAGTAGAACATATATTGTGGTTTTGCTCACATATTAGTGATGGAAAAATTAAGACTAAAACTGGAGAATGGAGAAAAGAGGTCACATGCAGAGCAAAGTGGGATGTGGAAAGAAAGAAAGAAAAAAAAACATAGCCAAAGATTTTATGATATACATTAACACCCAATTTGAAATATTAATAAAGGAACTTGCAAACAAGGATGCTGAGGATCCATTGTGTTAAGTCCAAAGAGTTGTTACAAGAAGCAGGAGAGCAAATTTTGGAAAAGAGAAGAAGGAGCAAAAACAAAATCTGAATGAATGACAAGATTCTAAAAATGATGGATAAAAAAACAACTATCAAGAAGGAGATAGAAATGTGTGGAAGTAGATAAGAAAACCTATGCATTGTGTTTGAAAGCAAATGATGAGTATCTGAACAATTAATGTTCAAAAAATGATGAATGTGAGACAATAGATAACATAGATGAAATCCAAAGAGGTATAAAAAGAGTAATAGGAAACTTACCTTATCTTTCAATGTTGTCACAAAAATAAGGACAACCAGATATTTTTTTAAATTGGGGATATAAAGAGAGGTGGGCAGAGTATGTGATAGAATTATATAAAGATGCCAGGGAAAAGGAACCAGCCCTAGGAATGGTAGGAGCAATTAGCAACAGCTCATCAATTCTGGAAAGGGAGGTATAGAAAGCCATTAGAAGTTAGAAAAATGGGAAAGCTTGCAGCATAGATGTAATTCCAGCAACATTTTTAAAGTAAATAAACATTCTAGGGATTAAATATTTGATTGCAATTCAATTTACAGAGGAGGGGCAATGCAAACAGATTTTAACATTCCCGTTTTTGTGCTGATGTCCAAGAAACCTAAGTCTATGAAGTGTTGCCAATATAGGCCTATCAACTTAATTGGTCACACCTCAAAAACATTGCTAAAAGTATTACTCAGTAAAATTAAACTTTAAAGTTGAAAACTGTAATAATCAGAAGCACTGGCTGATTATTGTTGTGGCATTAATTGATGTAATCAATGCTCATAGGTAATTGATTAATCAAGTTAATTCCCTTGCTCTAGTTATTGGCCCTCAAAAGTAGGGAGAACTCCTGATTGATTGGTTGAATTTTACAAGATCAGTTTTGTACACCTTAACTGTGTTATTGATATTTTTCTTCTTTCACAAAATGCAAAAGTGCAGCTGAGTTTCATTGTGGAAGAATAGTTAAAAAAGTCATTTATGTGAGACTTGTATTTTTGTTAGTGAATGGTCATAGTTGTTAAATCAGCACAGTTTACTTAGTAAACAATTAGATGGCAATTACAAACTACCCATTCTTAAAATCATGAGCATGAAACGTACAGGGAAAGACACTACTGAGATTTGAAACATGTTAATGAAATACATTTTACTATAATTATAACAGATTTGTAATGTTATTTGAAGCTTCTAAAGTCATATCTACTATGGTAATACATTTTTTTTAGTCTTTAATGGATTAAACTTGTAATTAAGGTCAATGTTCTTCAATATATGGGGCAGTTCAATAAAGGATTCAAAAAAGATCCCTAAATATTTATACCTGAACTAGATGTTTTTAAGTCTTTTAAATTATTTTCTCTACCTGTTTCCAATTATCTAATGATATAAGTGATTGTTTCTTAAAAATGGTAAGAATACATGTTTTGGAAGCACTGTAAAAATTGTTTTAAAAATATCTTGGTATGTGATCCATTAAAACAAATCTTAATTAGTGCTATATCTGAATGAAACATTATGTAGTTTTAGATTAGAAAAAATAAAAATTTAAAACAGCAACTTGAAAAGTACCGTCAAAATAGAAATAACAGAATATTCAAGATTCCTTATAATTATTATCTTGGTAAATTTAAAGAAGCAAGGGAAAAAAAATACTTATTGTATTGTGGAAACATTTTTTAAATAATTGTTTTTATATTTAATTTGCTGTAACAGTTGAGTTGAATATTAGTGCTTGCAATTAGACTACAGTTCATTTATTAGACTGTCAAGAAATTAATGTTTCGTTTTGGAACACTTTCATTAACCCCCCCCCCCCCCAAAAAAAAATGTACATCACATATAATAGGTAAACGAACCACCTAAACATCACATTAATGTAGCCTATAAAGTTTAGTATACTCTAATCCCTTATAGTGATGGCACACAATCAGCATGTAATACTGTTTGATTACAAGAAGGGAAACAATGCCTCTGTAGCCATAAAGAATATGAAAGAAAACTGTGGAAATGTTTTGTTTATCATAAGTGTCAACGAT